ATGGTGGAAACCCCTGTTCTATGAACCATAAGTGGGGAAATAAAGCAGTGTATTCAGCAGACACTAGTTATCATATTATCTAGCTGATATCCAGCCCAGAAACATAGCTGAGAAGAGAGTAGAAGAGAACACAGTAGGGATGGCTGCTAATGAGTATGACTAGGAAAGACGGGATCAAATAGGACAACATAACAGAACCAGAGACATCATCATATACTTGGGCCTGGGTCTCCTTCATTCCCCTCCTCCACTAGCTCTGGTCTTTGTGTACAGTGCCTAGCCTCTCTGAACCTCTGTTACCTCATCTGCCTGTAGCAGAAACACCTCATATATACTGCAAAGATTAAATGAGATAAGGCAAACAGAGTGTCTGGATCCTGAAAAGGCTCAGATAAATATTGCCTTGCATTCTGAATTCCATCAGACAGCACAGCCTTGCTTCTTTTGAGAGATTACCAAATAAAGCTATTGAACACTGAGATTTCTCTCTCCTCTTTCTGAGTTTATCATCTCCCATAGCTGGTTTGCATGGTCTTGGGCCATCACAAAGACTTGGAAATAGCAAAGGTTCGGGACCCATGAGTGATCCAGTGCCCCTTTTTGATAATGAGCAAATGAGCCTGGTATGCTGATGCATGCTTATGATTCCAACATTAAGGAAGTGGAAGAAGGAGGATCAGAAGTTCAAGGTCATTCTTAGCTATATAGCAAGTTTGAGGCCAGCCTGAGCTAACTGAGATATTGTCTCAAAAAGTCACATTTTGTTGTTGTTGTTGTTGTTGTTGTTGTTGTTGTTGAACTGAGCCAGAGACTCTTTGGCCTGTTGGAAAGACAGAATGTGCAGTTGGTTTTGTTTACCCAGTATGAGGGCTGACCAGAATGTGTACAAACAGCCTTCTTGGAGAGAGCCCACCAGTCTAACATGTTAGTTGTAATAGGGAGAGTACTAGACATTGAGCTAGGCCTTGGTCAGTATTTCAGGAGCTAGTCTGCCACTCTGAGCTGTATGTCCTTCTGCAAAGAGTTAATGCCCCTAATCTTGGTCATGAGGTCATCTCTGGTTGGCCTCTGGTATACCCCAGTGCTACTGTGACCACTTTAAATGCCAGTTGAGTAAATGCTTTCAAAATGAAAACCAGCTGTTGGACCCAGGTCAGGAGGTTGACAGGCTGATTGGATGCTCCAAGCTATGGAAGCTCTCATTTCAACAGGCCTTATATTTTTTGTGACTGCCATAGGACTGGTACTGCCATCTGTGTCTCCCACCTTCCTGAAGGTCCAGTTTCTGCTGCAGAGTCACAATTCTTCAGGATATCTAGGCTAAGGTCCATAGATAGTTCCCCAGATACTTCTTTTCCTATGGAGTCTTCAGAATCTTGGCCTTCTCTCTTTAACATATACAAACCCAGAACCCCTGATCCTCACCCAAATAACCACCAAAGTTCCAAATGGAACCACTGGTGGTGTCACTCTGGTTCTTGTTTAATTTATGACATTTCATCACTCTCTAAAGGCAGCTATGGAAGGGATCACCACTGTCGGCAACCTGTTAGTGTGCGTCTGTGTGTGTGTGTGTGTGTGTGTGTGTGTGTGTGTGTGTGTGTGCTACATCATGTTCATGGTATAGAGAGCAGTGCAGCTGGAGAAATGTGAGGATTTGTGCTCACTAGATGTGGATCTCTAACCAATTCAACTTGATTCGTCACCTAGTGTGATTGAAAGTGACCTTGAGCAAACCATTTACCTGTTCTGGAAGTATTCTTTCATGTGTCAGAATGCATACCCTGGAGAGTTCCTGCAAGGATTGACAAAGCATTCCTCTGCCCTGTGGAGTCCTGTTGTCGGACTTCCCTAGGGGACACAGTTACAGCATTTTATAAGTCATGTTAATACTGCCATCAACATTCCATCACTGCTGACTTCCCTCTGGCTTAAAAGAGGATGCTCTGAGAGCCATCATGTGGTTCTCTGACAGGCATACTCAGGACTTTGCAGCTCCTGGCTGAGTAGGTTGGATTCTCAGAGTCTCTTCTAGAGGATCAGCATAAGCTAGTATCAAGTTCCACATCAGAGTTATGACTGTAACCTCATTATGAGTGTGTAAGGCTATGCTAGACCTGAACTCTGAAGCCTGACCTGGCTAAAGCCAACAAGGCAGAGCACCTGGTTGCTATGGAGATCATCCCTCCAACAATCCCACTGGGAGCAGGAAATTTTGTTTAAATAAGCAGATGAAAATGAGCTTTGGTTCCTCAGCAAACTGAGTTATAATATTCTGAATTTCTATTCTGGCATTTTAACCTTTCGATGTTGCCCTTAGGAATTCAGAGAACAAATGATCTTCAATATGCTGTGTGTGTGAAGTGAGGCTAGGAGACACACACACACACACAGAGAGAGAGAGAGAGAGAGAGAGAGAGAGAGAGAGAGAGAGAGAGAGAGAGAGAGAGAGAGCTGAAATACTGATTTCTTACTGTTGGCCCAGTTACCTGGTTATCAACAACATTTGATGCTGAGAAGTTGAGGTTCTTTTAAGTTACAGAACAAAGGCATCTCATTGAAAAGGTGACTGGGGAGTTCTGGAGCTCACAATAAAAGCCAGCCTGCAAAGCTGGGTATGCTGGCTTCATCCCTTACCAATTCTGTCACTTAATGTCTCTGTCTGTACTTTGCTGTCTTTATCTCTGAAATACCAGCTGTAGTTAACTCTTTCTCTTGTCATTCTGGCAAGAATTAAATCAGATGTGATGTTTGGACAGGTTTTGGCAGCTTGTATTCTTATGAATATATTAGTTAATATTTTGTAGTCTATGCTTCCTACAAACACTGGTGATCCTTTTGTGAGGTGAGAGCATCAGGCCACTGATGGAGGATGTGTTAGGCACCATCTGTCTAACCTGACCACTTCTGATCATCATTTGAAGAGCTAGTAAATGAGGCAAATCTCAAACTCTGTGACTTTGAAACCCTGGGATGAAGTGACCCCAGGAATCTGAATTTAACCAGCATATAAAGTGATTCTATGGAAGACTATAATGTAAGAATCAAGGATCCATTGGTGTGTCCCAAAACATACTGGTTTACTCCAGAAGTAATCCCTAAACACCTGTTTCATCTCAGGGGGGAAGCTTGTCAAGGAAGTCCGTGGAAACAGGGAGACACACAGGTGATCAGCCCACTGTGTTGTCATCAACCAAGCAGGAGATGAAGACTCACAGCCAACTTGAATTCTGTAGGCTACATGAGGAGAACAAGGGCTGAGAAGGTTGCCAGTATTCTGCTTGCTTTTCTCTTTCCTGAGAGGCAAAACCACTTCCACACAGTATCAACACAGCTCTGAAAAACAGATAAGGAAGCCAAGACTCAAGGAAGATGGGTGCTTTGCCCAGGGTCTTGTGAGGTCAGTGAGTGGTGTGCTGGTAAATGCTTAACCACGGGCTCAGATTGGGGGTGGGGTAGGGTAGAGCTGAGCTGTGGCATTTGCTTGTTTCTATGGTATAAACGCCCCTAGTGTGTCAGGTTTCAATTACCAACATGCTGCCTCTTAAGGGAGGTTGCAGAAGAGCTCAGACACCCTTGTAAGCTGGTAAGAAGTGGCCCTGGCTCTGGGCACTCTGATGTATAGTTGTCATTCTTTGCAATGATGGTTAATGAGCATCTGTCAAGGTGCATAGGAGAGAGGCCATTGTTTTCCCTGACATTCAGGTGCTTTATATTAGCCCCCCTCCCATACTTGAAGCTATGTAAGGGGAGGTAACTAGTGTGATGGGGGAGACAAAACAGCTCCCTTAAGGAAACTGTCTCTATTTGGCTTTTTTTCAGACTGAGGTCTGGCTATGTGCAGCCATCACTGACCATCTCACTAAGCTCTGAAATATAGTGCAGGTGGTCACTGGAGGAGGTAGCATCCCATAGAAAGGCAAGAGACTGAAAAAGCTCTGAAAGTTGTTGCCTATCTATCTACCAAGCACCTTTGAAACTACAGAGTCTGGACTAGGGACAGAAGAGACACAGTCCCCACATGTTTACCTGAGGGGAAGCTGAGATCCTTTCTGTCCCAAGTTCTGATGATCTGGATCATATAGAGCCATCCACTATCCTCCGATTGTCTGAACATGCCTAATAAGGGTATACTCGCTGTATCACCACACCCAGATGGACAGGACAGCAGTTGGCACAGGGCACCAGGAGTGTCCAGCACCAGGCACACCAGGGCTACTTCTCATGGCTATGGGCAGATATAGTATGCTCTTGACTGATGGCATGCCCGAGAGATGTCCTGGTGAGCCTCAAGTGACCTCCCACGGGGTCTGAGAATATAGCTGATCGGCTAGAGCATGAAAAGATGAAGGTCTGGGGACTTACTGTCCAGCAGAACAGCAACTGCCTGCAGATAGATGGGGGGAGATCTCAGGAAATATCTGGTCCTAGTGCAAGACAAAACTGTGAATTCTATCCCAGCACCGCAGAAGCCTAGCCAAGTTCCCCAGTTCACCTTTAGACAACAGTGGCTACCCCAGATGCCAAGCAGTTATGGGGCAGGTGGGCTGGGTCAAAGTCTGGTCAGCTAGGCAGGGACAAAGCAGCACTGGGACACGAGGGTGCCCAGGCATTCTCTTTCCTTAGATTTCTTGACTCAGCTTGTCTCCAGCCCATATAGAGGAGGATAAAAAGGAAGAGGAGGAGGGGAGCCACTGGAAGCCAGCCGTTCTGCAAGGGAGCCGGCAGGGCTCCTTCCCTCCAAGTGTGTGTGTATGTGTGTGTGGGGGGGGGGGGGGGGGGAGGGGGAGGGAGAGAGAGAGAGAGAGAGAGAGAGAGAGAGAGAGAGAGAGAGAGAGAATCGGTGGGATTTCTTTCTCAGAAGCAGCCAGTTTGCTAAGAGAAAGAAGAGAGAAAGGAGAAAGAAGGGGAGGAGAAAATTGGAGGTGGGAGAGACAGAAGTGGGAGGGGGCAGAAAGTGAGAGCACACAGGAGACTGAACACAGAGGCAGAGAGAGGGAGACAGAGAGAAAGCCACAGAGCAGGAGGGTGTGCGGAGCAGAGCTAGAGCTTAGAGAGACCCAGTGAGGGCGGGTGCAGGCAGGGGCAAAGCCAGTGATCGCAGGTGCCTGCGACCCCCGGATTCCAGGGCACTACCGGAGTTCAGAGGAGCACCGGGCTACCGGCCAAGAGGTGGTGCGGGGACTGGGGGTGAACACTCGCCCAGGTGCTCGCCGGTGAGGTGACCCCAGACTCCGAGTGGTTCCGTGCCCAGGTGCTCGCCTGGGAGGTGGTGCGGGTCTCCGGGTGGCTGTGTGCCTAGGTGCTGGCCCAGGGGGTGGCGCGGGGTTCTGGGTTGCTGGATGCCCTCTGGGTAGCCATGGCGACAGGGGCCAGGGGTCGCTGGGCTACCGCGTCGCCGAGGGGCTAAGTCGGCAGCGGTCTGCGCCATGGCGGCGCGGGGTTGCGGGCCCTGAGCGCCAGCTGCGGGCGCGCACCATGAACTCGTGGGACGCGGGCCTGGCGGGGCTGCTGGTGGGCACGATCGGCGTGTCGCTGCTGTCCAACGGGCTGGTGCTGCTCTGCCTCCTGCACAGCGCTGACATCCGCCGCCAGGCGCCGGCGCTCTTCACTCTCAACCTCACGTGTGGCAACCTGCTTTGTACCGTGGTCAACATGCCACTAACACTGGCCGGCGTCGTGGCACAACGGCAGCCGGCCGGGGACCGCCTGTGCCGCCTGGCCGCCTTCCTCGACACCTTTCTGGCCGCCAACTCCATGCTAAGCATGGCCGCGCTCAGCATCGACCGCTGGGTGGCTGTGGTCTTCCCGCTGAGCTACCGTGCCAAGATGCGCCTCCGAGATGCCGCCTTCATGGTGGCCTACACGTGGCTGCACGCGCTCACCTTCCCGGCCACCGCACTCGCCCTGTCCTGGCTCGGCTTCCACCAGCTGTATGCCTCGTGCACGCTGTGCAGCCGGCGGCCGGACGAGCGCCTGCGCTTTGCTGTCTTCACTAGCGCCTTCCATGCGCTCAGCTTCCTGCTCTCCTTCATCGTGCTCTGCTTCACGTACCTCAAGGTGCTCAAGGTGGCCCGCTTTCACTGCAAGCGCATCGACGTGATCACCATGCAGACGCTTGTGCTGTTGGTGGACATCCACCCCAGGTGAGTGGCCTGACCCAGGGCTCTGAGCACTTGGTATTGCGTTGGGAAGGTCTCAGCATCCTGGGTAGGGTTTGGGGAGATCCCCTTTCTGCATCAACTGCATTAAACATGGGTGGAATAGCACATGCTGTTTGAACGGGTGCCTAGAGCTTCACTTTCTGAAACACGAGGCTGAAACCCCAGCCAGAATGTCTTATCTTTATACTCATCCTGGGCAGTGAACTCTGTTCACTTTGTGAAACTTGAAAACGGTTTGAATCTGAGAGGGAGATCTAGAGGCTTGGAAAACCCTTAAGAACTCTTCAAATGGTGGGTGCTATTCCTCTGGGTCTTTGCTATCCTGGGTGTGGTGCCACCTGGATCTCCTCTCCCTGTATGTGTGCATGAGTCTTCATTAAACAGAATCCATAGCACCTTCTCCCAGTGATGGGCTCTGAGGGCCTGGGTTCTTCTTGCCTTTCTATAAGGCTAGGTCCATCGTTTTCTGGACTTGGAACCTCAAAGTCCCTTCAAGAATTTGTGTTTCAGGTTCCTGAATCCAAGCCTGCGCACCATTTCCATTCTCTTGACTTGCTATTTCTTTGGAGAAGGAGGAGGGAGGCAAATGGAAGGACTGGCTGGGAACCTCCATAGTCCTTAATGTCCCTTAGGGAGAGGAGGAGGAAACTGTCAATCAGGCTGTCCTGAGCTCACCTCATCTTTCCTTTTGAGACTAGAGCATCAAGAAGGAGGGTGCCTCTGTGGCCTCTGCCAGTTGAGATACATTAAAAGCAGGCTTCCTCTCTGCTGCCTGGAACAAGGGCTTAGGAGTCCACTTGACACAGAAGATATGGCACACAGGGAGCAATGGTGATGGACAGTTAGGTTTCTATGTGTGAGCAGAACCCCAGGATGCAGGGAGCTTGGGGGGGTGGAGTATAGACCCCAACGTATGTTCACCCTTCAGGGCTTAGTGGACAGACTGATCAAAGGCTTTTGTGAGGCTTCCCTGCCTTGAGCAATGTCACTATGCTGAATGTCACTCTACCTGAACATCAGAGGGTCATGGCTGAGTGAGTCTACTGCCACCCCCCTGAGAGCTCATTCCAGATGACAGGCCGGTCCAGTCTTCCCCAAATAACATCTTCCCCACAGAAGCTTAAACCAAATGTGCTTACATCAGCTCTCTCAGCAATGGTCTGTGCAGTTTAGTCATTTCAGGAGAGAGTCTAAAGCCACACTTGTAGAAACATTCCTGTTCATTGCCCTTTACTTTAGAAAGGGCTGTCTCTGGGTCTTGGTCCAGGTCCGAGTCTGGATCTGGGGCTAGGTCTGAGTTTGGGTCTGGGTCTGGAGCTGCTCCTGGGACTGGAGCTGGGGCTGGGACTGGGGCTGGGGCAGGGGCTGGAGCTGGGGCTGGGGCTGGGGCAGGAGCTGGAGCTGGGGCTGGGACTGGGGCTGGGGCTGGGGCTGAGGGTTGGGGCTGAGGGTTGGGGCTGAGGGTTGGGGCTGGGGCTGGGGCTGGGGCTGGGGCTGGGGCAGGGGCTGGGGCTGGGGCTGGGGCTGGGGCTGGGGCAGGAGCTGGAGCTGGGGCTGGGGCTGGGGCTGGGGCTGGGGCTGTGGGTTGGGGCTGAGGGTTGGGGCTGAGGGTTGGGGCTGGGGCTGGGGCTGGGGCTGGGGCTGGAGCTGGGGCTGGAGCTAGGGCAGTTTATGAGGATGCATGTTAACATTTGTACACTTAAACTAGCTCTAGAAAGCCCACTCAGGCCTACCTAGAATTGAGCCAAGAGAGGAGCCCATTTTATTTAGAGTAATGTGAAGTCCAATCCCAGCTCTCAGTCTACCAGAGAGGAGGGTAGAGGCCACTTTGCATTCTATCTAGGGACAGGGACTTCCTTTGCTCCTGACACTCTCTCTGACTTCAGGTCAGAATTACAGTGAATTATCTAGGGGTCTCATAAGCAGGGACAGATATTGAGCAGGAATCCAGGTCTTTGTCAGCTCTGCAGAGAACCTCGACTCTAAGTGGCAGGCAGTTTGGAGGAGTCCCTACTTCTAGACCCCACCCCACCCTGGGGAGCTCCATTAGGTCACAGAGCCATGGACTCCTTGGTGAGCACAAACTGTCCTTCCCAGAGGTCTCAAGCAGGAATGTGTGTTGGGGGGGGGGCCTCCAGGGAACAAGACAGCCAGTCCACAGGAGACTCCATGACAGCTGATCTTCAGCCTGCCACTTTGGAGATACAAGTGAGAAGACACAGTCCTAGCTCTGAGAGCTGCAATGGAGTCCTACCTCATCTCAGATCTGGATATCCTTTGGTTCCAAGAACCTATGCTATGCTATGCTATGCTATGCTATGCTATGCTATGCTATGCT